TCTCAGCTCTGCAGAATAATGAATAAATCAGCACTCAGAGCCTGAGGAGGGTGAGGCCTGCAGGGGGCGAGTCATGTGACGTTCAGCTCAGACCAAACCAATGAAAACACTTTACACAGCGACACTGTTTTAGAGATCCTGCATCTGTTCCCGCTCACTCCTGTCTGTCTGTATCTGTCCCTCATTCACTGCCAAATCTCACACAACCCTCTGTCTGTCTGTCTCTCACATCTGAGTGTGTTTATCTACTCATATGGCGACATATCATAGACTTGTATTGGTTTTATATAAAGTTAATGAAGTTAATGACTAACCCTAACCCTAACCTAAACCAAACCAAACACCTAAAGGAAAAAAAAAAATAAATCTAAGGACACTTGTCATAATTACATAGTTGTTGTTAAAAATCATCCTGTTTTGTACGTCAAAGAAACCTGTTATTTTATTGTATTTATTTATTTTTATTTTATTTTACCATCTTAATTTAATTTACTGCTATTTTAATGCTAAATGGAAACAGCAAAGATCTTTCAAAAGTGGTTCAGATGGATCAAATCCAAACACTGTAACATTCTGGCCAATTAGAGAGAGGGGGGGGGGGCGAAGTCACGGCAGTAAGTGAGTGTGTTGTGTTCCTTGGATGCAGCAGGAGACTGAGAGAGAGAGAGAGAATGTGCTGGTTTATAGAGAGAGACAGCGAGCGCGCGCGCGAGAGAGAGAATGTGTATGTATGTGCGTGTGAGAGAGAGAAACCGTGAGAGAAAGAGAGCTAGATGTGTGTGTGTGTGTGTGTGAGAGAGAGAGAGAGAGAGTCATAGGTAAAATTCAATAGAATAACAGCTCATCTGCCCCATAATCTCTCTCTCTCTCTCTCTCTCTCTCTCTCTCTCTCTCTCTCTCTGGATGAGTGTGGACAATAGTCTCAGCAGTGGCCCCTGATTGCCTCTTTTCACATGTTAATGAGCATCTCTGCGTTCCTCCTCTTTCTCAAATCTCCACAAATTATACAGCAAACACAGAAAAGGAAAATCCTACGGCTTTTTTTATTCAACAAACTGACATGTAAAAGCGAGTGTAAGTGTTGTCCTCCGCCGCTCTGATCGGCAGCTAATTGTAGCCGTCAATTGTATAAGATGCTCTTTTACTTCAACACAACCTGGATCAAACACAATCAACTCTCCTGCCTGTTTAAGAGAGAGAGAGAGAGACGGCGATGCTCGTTGTCACAGTGATGACTGCATTTATTCGCATCACACATTTGAATATAAATATTTGTTGATTTGCTCATTTTGCGCCTGGCTGAGATCTGAACGCTGTCGAGGATCTTAAAAGACTGTTTTGAAGTGCCGCCGTCTGTCTGAACGTGACGGAAAAGAAAAACAGACAGACAGAAGAGTATTCACGAATATTCGCAATTCAACACTCACGTATTTTATTGCATTTATAACCGTTAATACTTAATGAAAATATTAAGGACACAAATATTTATTCAGATTCAAATTTATTTAGTATTTATGAAAACATGCAAAGTGGCATCCAGTCAGCTTCATGTTTTTATATTGTGTATTTTTGAATGACTGATGAGTAATTGACCAATCAGCATCCAGGAGTGGAAGGATCTGTTTCATAATGCACTTTTGTGTTGTTTATTTATCACAGATTATGACATTTGACATTGCATTTGATAGTGAATCATTTGTCTTATGTAATATACAGCAGTATGCTCTTCCTCACAGCAGATTTTAAAATAGAAAGAGGAAAATGTGAAGAATCGCTCACTCACACATGTACACAAACACAGCCCGGCGTACTTCCACAAGAGGGCCGAATCCTGCAGGAGAAAGCCACGTTTTATTTCATAGGATAAATTAAATTTCACACCCCTGTGAAGTTTATACAGCACAGAGCAGCAGATTTTACAAGATTCATATGCAAATGTGTGTTGAGATTAGAGATACAACAATTATTCTGGTTCATGATAAATTATTCATTTAACAACCGTCAATTATTAATTCCACAGAAACAATAAGCTGTGTTTCTGTAGGCAGAGTTTCCTATTTTAACAGACCTTTACCTCTCTCTCTCTCTCTCTCTGTGAACTCTGTCAGAATTAATCGTGAATGTTTTCCATTTCCTTCTCTGCCTCAGAAAGCCAGAGCATCAAAATAGTTACAAATGTGTCATTGCACTGCTACTTTTACCTCACTGGAGACCTGACCTCTTTAGCGAGAGATACTCGGAATCATCGCTCTCTCCGCCGAGCGTCTCTCGTTTGATGTGTGCAAATGAAGAGAGTCGGCTAATAATCAGATCATTGGTGTTCAGAGTTCTTCCTCTGCACAGAACAAGTGCTACATGTGAAAATCAATAGCTATTTGATGCATACGGCATCTGTAGCTGCGCAGTCAGTAGCCCAGCATGCTGTTATATACAGTAGACTGAAGCCGTATGAGCGCAGGAGCCTGCGGCTACAGCACAACTCATTTCATGTGTTTGAGAGACTTTGAAATCACTCTCTCTGCTAACTCTGCACTATAATTGTCCATCAATCTGCCATGCTTCTCCTTTTCTTTTCTTGTGTCTGTGCGTGTGAGATACGCTCACCATGTACAGCTGTCATTCACATTAAAATGCATCTGTGAATGGAACAGGTCTGTTGGGTAAATGCATAATTAATAAGTACAGATGAGAAATCACTACCGCATGTAATGCATGTGCATGCATGCTGTATTTGCACAGAGGTGGATCTGTGAACAGTCGGACAGGCTTTTTGGCTGGCGGTGTACATGCACACATGAAGATATGATAATTATGCTAATGAAATACACGCCTGTAACTCTAGTACTGTTGTGTGCGGCGCAGTGCGGTTTATAATGACTATGAAAATGAGCTAGCAACACAGGACAGGGACCCCAGCAGTTCATACAGGAAAATGACATGTATACTGATGAAGGAAAAAAATACATTTAAATTTTTTAACAGCAAAAAAAAAAATGGTGTAGAAAAAATGCTCACTCAGAATTTGCAAGTAAATTTCACAAATAATAAATGGGAAATAATGCATTGAATTAAATGTGAACTTTTAAAATAGAAAGACCGGAATAATATTTTCTTGTAAAACCTGCTCCAAAAATGTTTTTTTTTTTTTTTTTTTTTTTTTTTTTTTTTACAGGGCTTTTTTTTTTTTTTTTAACACAT